GAGATTGTTGAGCTTGCTCTATAGGTATTTGAGGGAGAACCTCAATATTGTCTTGTGTAGGGACAATGTCAGGAATAACTCCATGATTGTCACCTATTACTGGGGTAGGTACTGGAATAGTAATAGGCACGAGGACTTGATCACTGTCAATGACAGGTTCTTCCTCAAAGACAACATTTCTTATGTTCTCTTCCTTCCCAAACTCAACATCCTCAAGGAATCTCGCATTCCCCGTCTCAAAGAATGATCTAGTAGTGGGATTGTAAAATTTATAGCCCCGAGAGCGTTCAGGATAACCAACAAAATAACAGCTAACAGTCCTTGACTCCAGCTTGCTTTCATGCGGCCTATAAGGACGCGCTTCAGCCGGACAACCCCAAATGTGTAAATGTTTTAGACTTGGCCTTTTACCCGTCCATAGCTCATAAGGAGTTTTGTTAACTGCTTTACTTGGTACCCTATTTAGGATGTAGACTGCAGTCTTAAGCGCTTCTCCCCACAATGACTCTGGTAAGGAAGAATGACTAATCATACTTCTCACCATATCCTTAAGAGTCCTGTTTCTACGTTCTGCAACACCGTTCATGCTTGGTTTCCCAGGCATAGTATACTGAGGAACGATGCCACATTCCCTTAGGAAAAGCGCAAAAGGCCCTGGACGTTGTTCACCTGATCCATCATATCTACCGTAATATTCACCACCACGATCAGATTTGACGGCCTTAATTTTCTTTCCAAGTTGAAGCTCAACTTCAGCTTTAAAAGATTTGAAAACATCTAGGGATTGAGACTTCTCATGAATTAAAAATAGGTAGCCGTACCTTGAATAATCATCTATGAACGTAATGAAATATTGTTGCCCATTCCAAGATGCCGTAGGGAATGGTCCACAAATATCTGTGTGAATTAATTCCAAAACGTCCTTAGCCCTTTCGGCACCTAATTTTCTAGAATTTGTTTGTTTACCCTTAATACATTCAACGCAAACCTCAAAGTCTGACAAGTCAAAGGGTTCAAGAATCTCATCCGACACAAGCCTCTGAATTCTCTGTTTAGAGATATGGCCTAAACGCTTATGCCATAAGGTGGCTGAGTTCTCATTTATTTTACGCTTCGTACCACGAGAATCAATGTGAAAATTTTCTTTATTGGAACTAACTACATCTAGTAAGTATAAATTATCAATTAAAGAACCAGAACCAACAACATTTGAATTTTGATAGAGGCTAAATTTATTATTTCCAAATGAACAAGAAAAACCAAATTTGTCCAAACTAGAAATAGAAATTAAATTCCGCCTAAAAGACGGTACAACAAAAGTCTCAAATAAATCCAAATGAAATCCAGTTTTTAACTGTAATCTAAATGTTCCAATAGCCTCCACTGTGACCTTGTTGCCATCACCCACATATATAAATCTTTCATTATCACTTGGCGGTCGGCTCCAAAGGCAACCCTGCATGGATACACTAATGTGAGTAGTAGCACCAGAATCTACCCACCAAGTATCATGTGGTACAAAAGCTAAATTAACTTCAGAACAAACAAAAGAGAGAAAATTACCTTTCTTTACACGCCAAGAGGCGTACTTGGGACACTCTTTCTTCATGTGCCCAGGCTTCTTGCAGAAGAAGCAAGTAGGTGTGTTCTCATCCTTTTTGACTTTCTTTAGTTGAGAAGTCCTTTCTACAACATCCTTATTATTCTTTCTCTTCCTATTCTGAGAGCTTGACGCTAAATGAGCACTTTCAGTCTTTTCTCTTTGCTGCCTTTCCTCCTCTTGCACACAGTGAGAAATCAATTCATTCAAGGTCCATTTATCTTTCTGAGTATTATAACTCACCTTGAATTGTCCAAAGTGTGTAGGAAGAGAAATCAAAACTAGATGCACGAGCAAGTCATCAGACAACTCTAACTTTAGTGCTTTTAGTTTTGACGCGAGATTAGACATTTCCATAATGTACTCCCTTATGTTTCCTTTACCTTTGTATCTCATAGAGATAAGTTTAGCAAGCAAACTGCTTGCATCAACTTTCTCATTACTGGTGAAATATTGCTCAACAACATCAAGGAAACCTTTAGCATTTTGGCTTTCAGAAATAGAGCCCCAAAAAACTTCTGGAACAGATCGCTTCATGATCATCAAACACATTCGGTTTGAGCGTTCCCACTTTTCAACCTTATCCTCATCCGGGTTTTCCGGATTTGGAGTGGGTTTCTCAGCCCGAAGTGCAAGATCAAGATCCATGCAACCAAGAATTATCTCAACTGCTTCCTTCCAGGCCTTAAAGTTTGTCCCATTAAGCATGGGTATACAATTAATTTGAGTAGATAAGTTAACAGCACTAGCAACAGCAACTGTAATAGAACATAGAAAAAAAATTTAATTTAATTACATGCTCATAAAGTAAAATAAAATAAATAAAACATGCAAATTATTTACATAATAGACCCATTACAAGATACCGAATACAACATTAATCCTTTGTCTTTGGACATACAAATTAACTTGTTAGTGGTACTCTCAATGCAACGATCAAATATTGACAATTAATTATGTCAAATAATAGCCTTTCTTTGGACCGACTATTATTTACATGATTGTGACTTTATAATTGTCACATATTTATCATCACAGGCATGTTATTATTTGGCCAAATTGTTTCTTCCTTTGGGATGAGCACAAATTGCATAAATAATCTCATACTAACATCTATTGTAATTTTTAATCAAATTAATTTGTATAATAGGGATTGCTTTGACAATATATTACATCAATTTATTTAATTAAAAACTACTAGACAAATTAATTAATAAAGAGGGTCTATAATCTGCTAACATTCGCACTCAAATTTGATATATAAAAAAATATCAATTTAAATTTGAACATAATATCAATCAAATTTCAAGAAAATAATTCTTACGCGAAAGCCATTAAAAAAAATCGATAATATGGAATTCAATATATTAATCATATAATTTTCCCAAATATCATTTAATATAACAACAATGATTTTTACAAAAACAAAAAAAATCCCACTTCTGGTGGTACTCAAAGGATCAAACATAATATTATTTTCTCACTTCGTGATAAAAATATTCTTATTTCATTGTTGCACAATTAACTCACTTTTGGTAAGAAAATATTTCTTTATTGCATTGTTGCACAATTAACTCACTTCTGGTGAGAAAATATTTCTTTATTGCATTGTTGCACAATTAACTCACTTCTGGTGAGAAAATATTCCTTTATTGTATTGTTGCACAATTATCTCACTTCCGGTGAGAAAATTAAAATTTTAAAATATTTCTACATTTGACAATGTCTTCAGGATCATTGCAAAATTGTTACATATACAAATTTATAACATTCACAGAAAATTATACAATTTCACAAAAAATTTCTTTAATAAAAATTCAATTTTTAATCGATCTCTTTATCCGTATAATCAATTAAACTAAATTGAAGCAAAAAAAAATGACCAGCGCATTCAAATACACGTATTATCAATGAAGAGAGAAAAAAAATTGTAACAATACGCTTTAGAACCCCATAACCTAATAACAATGGCGGCTCTGATACCACTTGTTGGGATAAATTTCATAAGCCAAATAGAAATTTTCCATTAATCAATATTAAGAATCGTTGTCTCAGATTACAGAGTTAATGTTAATAATACGTACCTGTATCCATTGACGTTGATCAAAAGGTTGCAGCGGAATAGTCTTTTGGTGCAATGATCTTCCTCAGCCAAATCACTAGATTCCTTGATGGGACTTGATATTACTCTTCTGATGGGGAGATAGAGAGACGTGTGTTTCTGATTTGGCATATTGGGGACTATGACCATCTGATTTTAAACCTATTAGGATTCTCATTAACCCCTAACGGGCCAAATCTGGTTTCCACTTATTTGGGCCCATATCAGTTTTTTCTGTTGGCAGTCTAAAAACTCACTAAAATTAGATCACTTTTATTGAGCCCAACTAAATGTAAATAACTAATATAAATACTACAATAATATATGTAGCCCACAATTATTAGAAATAAAATTTTTAACATTAGGTACAAATATATCGCTACTTTTGGAATTAAGCTCTACACCTTAAACTATCTCCTACAGCACTATTAGTTTGCACAATAATAGTATCAATTAGCTGAAGAATTATACCCTAAGAAGTAATATCACCCAACACTGTATCTCTCATTACAAGTGTGCACATCACATTAATTTAAATGGAGCCCACCAACTACGTTCTTTAAATACAGAAATATCATTTCTGCTGTGTTTGATAAAGAGGAAAAAAACAAAACGAAAAAAGTGTAGGAAAGTATTAAAAAAAATAGAGTAAAAATAAAAATTATTTGATAAAAGAGAAATAAAAGAAAAATAGAGTAGAAATTGATTATTTTTATAAATATTTTTTTCATAAATAAATAAATATATTATTATTATTATTTAAATAAATATTTATTATTTAAACATAATAAATATTTATTTATTATAGTTATATTATTTTATTAATTATTATTATATTAGTATATTATATTTGTTATTGTTTTATTCTGGAAAAGGGTTTTAGGTGAGTTGGATAGGTACTGTGCATAAGCAATATTTTTTAGTGTTTTGTTGAAGGTGGTTAATAGATTTAAGAGTTTAAGAGTAGAATGAGACGAATGAAGAAATTCTTGGCAAATCGGCTAAACATTTTTACTCGAGTGAGACCCACTTCAATTTTCTAAAACTTTCACACAATTTCCAATTTAGCAAACACCATTAAAAATCAATTTCTCTTCACTTACACTTTCTTCTTTTGCCCATCATCTAACTTTCACTTTATCAAACAAGGGATTAGAAAAATGTGAAAAGGATATAAGAAATAAAGTATGTGAAGTGACAACAATTACCCACACCTATGAGTGAAATGGAAAAGACAATAACAAGTGAATTTTAGCCTTGTATCAAATACTAGCCCTAATAAATATGTGCCCGTCTAGCTCAGTTGGTAGAGCGCAAGGCTCTTAACCTTGTGGTCGTGGGTTCGAGCCCCACGGTGGGCGATTGTTTTTCATTTCTCATCCAAGATATTAGTAAGTTATAGTTATTTTCCCATTTCCAACAATGACACGTAGCTACCTGCGCACCAAATTCTTCAATGATGGAGACACGACGTATATGCCCATTTACACGCATAGTGTCGCTAAAATGGATTGGCTTTGAGTCTGATGATTGAATAAGGATCCGAGCATAGTCCAGCCTATGGAAGTTGCTTGTGTCATCATCCAATTTAATGAAGGACCCATGTATACTCACAATCTTTGAAAAAACCTCCACTCCCCATGTTTGGAGTGGAACTCCATAGCAACGAACCCAGACCATTCTATTTCCTACAGCTACATCCGGGCTCCACTTTTGAATAGAGTGCAACATAGATAGGCAACCATCTTCTTCATGTAACCTCTCCTTAATCGTTTCTTCATCTAAGCCTGTTATAAGTACCAAGTCATCCCCTAAATACCTTAACTTTATATCTCGTGACTCATATGGAACAACCGTCTCTTGTATCTTGTCAAATAGGGACAGGTCGAGCATCCTCCCCACCCAACTACTTTCTAGCCACACGTTATTTTTCTCTTCTACTTTGACATCGTACCCCTTCCACTGTTCGTCGTCCTTTTCCACGCCTCCATCTCTGACTTCCTTCCATACTTGGTTCCTCCCACCATTTTGTTTTAACACTTGTGCATATGTCTTCCCGTTGCTCACGAAGTTTGGTTTGTAGTGCCTTTGCTTACCTCCATTTCTTTCAGTCTTTGCCTTATGCTCTGTTCTTCTCCATTCCCACCGCCGGTATTTGGGTATATTGACATGCATTTTATTATTGCCTATGACGATCTTATCCAGCTGATCTGCCAACGCCATGGCATCCGTGACACCCGCAAACCTCACGAAGCCATATTCCCTTCCCCATTTGTTCTTCCTTTGGGCTACGAAAACCTCTTTAACGCTTCCATATTTTTGGAAAATTTTCCACAGTTCCACTTCCTTGAACCCGATCGGAAACCTTGTGAAGAAGCTAGCAAGACCCTCCTCGTACGCCTCCCTGCCCTGGTCACCATGCCACTTCCTCCGCGCTCCCATGTTCTTTCATTCTTAACACTCATATGTATGTTTAGAGGAAATTTATACATGAATATATAAAATTTATCTTATCATTTATACATGACCTATAACATCATTTCTTCTTCTTCTTCTTCTTTTTTTATAGGTATCGATAACTACACTCTCTTTTTTCTTTCTTCTAACTCATAGAAAACACTATCTCTCAAAGATGTTAAAAATCAGTTCTTTTACGTAATAAGTTTTTTTTAAAAAAAAATTATACTAGAAGGGTCAAAAAGCCGCGAGAATGACATTTCTATCAATACTCAACTCCTATTTGGATAGCGGAAAATTGCGTTATTTATGGTACTGTGAAGTCAATATAGACACAAATGCTGCCAAGTGCTGGTATTCAAATGGAACTCACTTGGGCACAAGTTATTCGAGTCTCTAAGGGGTGTCACTTCAATAACACTAGCACCTGAACATCCATCTCCTCCGATGTCTCTCATCATATCCCTCACCCTTGCTACATCATCCCACCTCCCAACAATCGCATAAAGATTTGACATTAATACATAAAACCCACCGTTTTTGTAATTTAATAAAAACAATTTTTTCGCCAAGCATTCCCCAAGCTTTACATCCTCTTGAATGCAACAAGCACTTAAAAGTGCTCCCCAAACAGCAGAATCAGGCCGAATTTCCATGTTGTTAATGATTTCAATTGCTTCCTTGAACAACCCTGTCCGACCCAAGAGACCAACTATGCAAGCATAATGCTGCAAATTTGGCATCAAACCATATTCTTTTGTCATGCTACAAAAGTATTCCATTCCTGTGTAAAAAAGTCCCCCATGTGTGCATGCTGCTAAAACTCCCAAGAAGGTGATTTTATCCGGTTCTAGCCCATGTTCTTGCAGTTTAGAAAAACAACTGAAAGCTTTGTGTTCAAGTCCATATAAACTATAACCAGATATGATGGAGTTCCATGTTGCCAAACATGGATCATTGATGCTATAAAATACCTTTTCAGCATAATCTAATCTTCCACACTTGGTATACATATCTATTAGAGCAGTTCCTGTAAAATCTTCCACTTTTACATTGTTTCTAAGGATATATCCATGTAGAGTCTCTCCTATCCGCAGGTACCCCAGCTGGCAACACCCCGATAATAGACTAGTGACAGTAATAGCATCTGGCTTTTGTCCATACATGTTCATTTGGCAGAACAACTCCATGGCATCACTTGATTTTCCAGCCTGAACACAGCCGGATATAACAGAATTCCAAGTGGCCAATGGTTTTTCACTCCTATCAAAAAACAAAGACAAAGCAGCTTCTATCTCATCAAATCTTGAATACATGCTTATTAGCCCATTTACAACTAAGCAATCATTACTCAGCCCATTTTTCAATCCATAACCATGAAAAGCACACCCAATGGGAAAATGAGAAGGATTAGTAATTCCATGAAGGACACTAATCAAGGCAACTGCATCTGGTTTTATGTCTAACTGCATAGTTTGGATAAAACACTCAACCGCAGACTCTACATCACCTTTTTCACAATAGCTAGAGATTATTGCAGTTAACGAAATCAGGTCTTTCGTGGGATAACTTTCATAAATCAATTTCGCCATATCAGTGAACCGTTGCTTTGCATAAAGACAAACTAGTGAGGTTACAACAGAAGCATCACTGGTGAAGCCACATTTGATAATATAGCAATGGATAGTTTGTGGAACAGCATTAGCTGACATAAGGTTTATCATTGTCACTGGACTGGGTTGCAAACCTTCCTTCAGCATCTCTTTAAAGCACAATACTGCCTTGTCCAAAAAACCGTTTTGGCCATAGGCACCAATCATGGTATTCCAAGAAACAACATTCTTCTCAGCCATTTCTTCAAATAAGAGATGGGATGCTTCCAAGTCATCACACTTGGCATACATTGAGGTAAGGGCATTACTCAATTGAGGATCCAAACCAAGGCCAGCTTTGATTCCAAACCCATGAAGGGATCTACCCTGAAGAAAAAGTTCACGGCAACTACAAGAAGGTAGCAAACTAGCAATTGTTGTTTGGTTAGGTCTGAAACTCTGTCTCAGCATGTGCACAAAGAGTTGAAGAGCATCATGAGGATGCCCATTTTGTGAATACCCACAAATCAATACGTTCCATGAAACAACATCTTTAGAGGGCATATCTTCGAACAGTTGGCGTGCGTGGGTGGTGAACCCAAGTTTCATATAAAAGTCAATGAGAGCCGTATTTACATATAGGAATTGGTCAATGCCCCGTTTCAACAACTGGGTATGAATCTGGTGTACTTGTATCCTCGAAGTGGATGAAAAAGAAGAGTGGGAAAGGCACGTTTTGATGAGTAACGAAAAGGTAACATGGTTGGGATTGGCATTAGCTTGTAAAAAGTGTCGAAAGATAAGGAGTGCAGAGCTTGCATCATGGAAGAGAGACAGATTAAGGTTAGAAGCTAACTTCATTTCATCACGAATAGTTAATGGGAGCAATAATTAATCCTTTTCCAGTCCCTAAAAATCTGATATATTACATAAATATTAAATATTGTGATGGGAAATGAAAATCTTCTTCACAAGGTTTCCGATCGGGTTCAAGGAAGTGGAACTGTGGAAAATTTTCCAAAAATATGGAAGCGTTAAAGAGGTTTTCGTAGCCCAACGGAAGAACAAATGGGGAAGGGAATATGGCTTCGTGAGGTTTGCGGGTGTCACGGATGCCATGGCGTTGGCAGATCAGCTGGATAAGATCGTCATAGGCAATAATAAAATGCATGTCACCATTAAGCGGTCCTAGCTTCCTAAGGGATGCCTCGCCCCCAGACACTACACCACTCCTTTTCGCGACCTCTGTACCAAATTTTTTTTTTTTTTAAATAGTTTCTTAAATTTTGTAAAATTTCTTATATTTAAAATTGTCACCTTAACATGTCTCACATGTATAAATGTGGTTTATTTTTTCAACAATCCCAAAACATTGCGGAAGCATATCTCTGAATTGTTTATCATGACAGATGGAAAGTACTCTATATATCCATTAACTTTCTGTTTCTGGTCCAATAAGTATATACTTTTATAAATTTTATTTATTAATTTCTATAATTAAAATATTTCATTTAAGTTTATGTATATATTATTTTGTTTTATTTTTTAATCTCTATGGTTATTTTTTTTTTAAAGATTATTTGAAATCCTTATCGGTTTGCATCATATAAGGTGATAATATATACGTGGACATTAGATATTACATATTAGTAATTAAATTAATATGATTATAGTAATATTAAATGGGTTGTGATTACATTGGTGGGCGAGATTGATCCACGTAACTGGGTCCAAGTGTGTGGGTGTGAATTAAGAGTGAATAGAGGTGTGCAGTGTATGAGTGGGTGTTGTCTCTTTTCCAGTATCCTCGACCAGATGCATTGCTGCATGTTGGACAAGTGCACAAAATGCCAAGCTAACTTTTTCTCTGCACTTCGATTCTAAGCAATGCAATGCACAAGACATATATATAAAATAATATAAGATAATAAGCACACTCATGCAGAGGAACAACAAATAATGCTTCTTAGTTGTGTCAGGTTCCTGGAGCTAGCGTTGTTACTCTCACATGTGAATTGCTTGGACCATCCCCAACTCCTAACCTTAACTCTATTCTGGTTAGTATCGAAACAAAGACAATCGAACAACAAAAGCCAGTGTGCGGGACATATATGCAACTCGCTCATCATGAATCAGACCAACTTCACACATTTAATATTCAGATGTGGTTTCGCACTCCATCTCATCCACTCAGCACTCGAGGAGGGGAAAAAAGTTTTGTACCAGAAAATCTAACACACCACTAACTCTCAACTAGATCAACACTGACTCAAAATATTATTTTATCTTTAAAGGAGTTTATCATCAGTGAAAAAAATTATAGATTGCTTAAAAGAAAAACTAACAAGTCCATAACATTCTTATTTCATATTTGAATTTTTTATTTCTTGGCTTAATAATAACACTCCTAGAGTGTTGATTTTAGTTTTTGGAAGACAGGTTCTGAGGTTGGGTTTCTATGTCGTTCTCTTCTTTCCCTCTTCCTCTCTTTCTCCCTTATAATACATGTGTACGTGTAAGTGGCCACAAGCCTGTTTTGTGATCCTAAATCGTATTTGGGTCTTGTTAATTTATTTTCTTAAAAAAACAGTTAAAATGTTAGAACAACCTTAAATTTAAATATTTTTTCGTTTTTAATATATTTCCATTTAGATTTATACTTAAAATGAGATATAAGATTTGTAATTTCATTAAAAATTCTCAAACAAGATGATAATTAATTTTGACTTTATATAAGGTTATGTTTTGCCTTGATTTAAACTTTTATTTGACACAAAAACAAAATTTAAAATTTACGTACATAATTTATCAAAATTAAAAAAAAAATTGATTAATTGATAATAATAAACTATCCATTATATATATATATATATATATATATATATATAT